GCGGGAACCGGGGAGCCTGTGAGCGAAACGGTTTGGAAGCAGCCGTTGAAATGCTCTTTGCAGGCTCTGTAGCGAGTGAACAAGACGAGATGACACCTCAGTGTGTCTCTAGTTCATGGTTTACTTATATGAAGACACACCCTAGGAAACATTACCTCCAAACGCCCTTCATCCTGCAGCAGGATATCCACTTGTGTCAAGTATTTCCTCCTTAGCTCATTTTCCAATGGGCTCCAGGGCGCTGCAGGCTGCCACCAAAGAGAAGTCAGTATTCGTAAGAGCTGCTGGGTGCGGCCGAGCTCTGGGATCCTGGGACGCACTGGCAAGCTCGCTAGCGCGCGCGCGTCTTTAAATGAAGTTCCTCAAAGTCACTTCTTCACCTCCTGCTGTTAGCAGCACAACGTGCTCCAGCCCCCCCTGAAAATCCACCTGACCCTGGAACCCGACTTTAGGGAACTGACCCATTGGTAACAATCCGAAAGGAAATAGAAAGACAAAACATACCAGTCTGGAGAAGTTTATGACAATATTACTAGAACAAGAGAAAAAAAGAAACAATATTCTTCGGCGAGTTTAGGACACAACTACTGGAATTGATGCCAGTTGGTTATGTTTCTAAGAAAAGAAGTTCAGTGTCCAACTCAGGGGGCAGGAACCCTTGCCTCTCCTATCCCTCACCTGCCATACACTGGAAATGGGGGGCCTCAGCCTCCACTGTGCACCCCGGTGGGGCTTAGTCAGGGCCTGGGGCTGCAGACTTGGGGGGCACAGGAACACACCAGGGAATGGCCGACACCTTGGCCCTTTACTGTCAGGGCCGCCTGCTCCCCTTCACTGCCACCCCGACACAACACCTCACAACGCACCCCTTTCCTCCCCCAGGGCCACCACCTAATTCTAGGTAGACACTACAAGTCACACACAGGTGTGTGGGCAAACCTCTGTACAAAAGTTGTGCTTTTAGAGGAAAACCACATGCCAGCTATTCTGGCATCTGACCCAGGGGTGAGGTCAGAGGCTCGGGTGGATTCTGTCCCGTGTGTTCCCGTCCATCCCGAGGGCTGATCTGGAAACGCTCCCCAGAGCACCTCCCTTATGACACCGTTTCTATGGGGAAAGACCGACTCAGAACCCAACTTTCTACACCGTGAGGTCGGTCAAGGCCCAGGGCACACCAGGATTGTTCTATTTGCAGAGGGAACGTCACCCAACATTTACTTAAGTTCAGTAGATCAGGCTTGAACTGGGGCAGTACGTGCTGAACCGAGAAGGG